AAGACGAATAAGTGATCACATAAGCAGCCTTCCCCAAAGAGAGCTCTTCTACATTCTCTTATTCCAAAGTGGGGATCTCATACAGTAGCTTTTGGCAACATCCATTGTACTTGAAATTATTATTAGTGCCTTCTCCTTTTATTTCAGAATCAAAGAACATTCTTCTACAGGTAAAAGTGTCGAATGGACAAGTGAAAGTGGTCTTCTCTTTATCCTCTGGTGCAATGTAAATCTCATTTTTAATAGCATCCAAAATCAATAAGTTAGACCAAATTTGGGGATGCCTCATTGCTTTTTCTCTATTTTCAAGTAAGATCCTATAAGTACACATGGACTGCCTAATATCAGAAATCTCAGTCATTGTCCATCCAATTCCCTTCTTATGTTCTTGCATTAAATTTTCTTCCTGCTCAAATTGAAGCTTTGATGAATAATATAAATCCTTAAGAAGTGGTTCAGAAGGTGGTTGTTCAATGGAATGTTTGGTTGGGGTAGCCGGGATGTCGAGAACTTCAGCTGTATAAACAGCTTCATCTACAACTCCATTTGTAGGAAAAATGTCAACTTGCAAGGTAGCCTCAATCTCAACACGAACAGAGCAAAGGTTTGTATTAGTACAGTCATCACATGAGTAACTATCATCAAAATCAGACAATGATGGAAAATCAGTTGCAAACAAATCAGTACAAGTATCATCAACCAACTCATAAATCAATCCAATATGAAAAATAGAATGCTCATTTTCCTCATCACTCTTCTTACTTTTAAGTACTCTATGTGGAAAAGGGATCGGTGGTACATACTTTTTTTCAGACTCAACAACAACAGAAGGTTCAGGTTTAGGTTCAGGTGTGACCTCAACAACTTCTTTATTTTTTCTGGGGCTAGTTCTACAACTTTTCCGGATCTTAAGGACATTGCACTTATATTAGGGTTAGGGACATTAGGATTCACTACTGTTTGGGCAGGTAGTTGGTTGGATCCTTGTGCTTGTTGTATGCCATTAATTGAAGAAGCAAGTTGTCCTATTTGTGTCTGCAGGGTTTAGATACTGGAATCTGTCCGTTGCTGGAATTGAAGATTATTGGCAGCCATTTGCTTAACAATATCCGATAATGAAGGTTCGGGAGCTGGGTCAGAAGTGGTTGCAGCCTATGGAGGGTTTTGTGGTGGTGGTAATGCTAACATTAATTGTTGTTTCACTAAAGAAGTAAACTCATCAAGTCTGGTTTCTAGAGCTTTGTTGTAAGAAGAAACCTAAATCTCATTCACACCTTTTGTTTGGACAAAATTGTTTCTAGTTGTAAACTGTTGGGAGTTTAGTGACATATTCTCAATCAAGGTTTTAACAACAGTTGAGGTCCTTATCAACAAGTTCTTCACCACTAGCAGCATCTAAAATATTTCTATCCATTGGTAGCAATCCCTCATAGAAATACTGGATAAGTAATTGTTCGGTAATCTGGTGCTGGGGGCATCTGGACACTAACTGTTTGAATCTCTCCCAGTATTCGGCCAATGATTCTATGTCAATAATATCACATATATCTTTTCTGATTGAGGCAGCTCTTAAGGCAGGAAAGTATATTTCTAGGAAGGCTTTCCTCAAATCATTCCAGGTTGTGACAGAATTAGGCTTAAGATAGTAAAACCAATCTTTGGCAGCTCCCTGTAGTGAAAACAGGAAGGCTCTCAGCTTGATGTGATCTTCGGTGATTCCTTCAAGTCTCAAAGGTGTAGAGCACACAACCTAGAATTCCTTCAGATGCCTATGTGGGTCCTCACCTACAAAACCATTAAACATTGGCAACAAGTGTATTAAACTAGGTTTTAATTCGAAAGGTACAGTAACAGCAGGATATACAATACATAAAAGCATTATAATTCACATCAGGGACAACAATTTCTCTAAGAGTTCTTTGATTAGCCATATTAAATTTAATAGGAAAAAAATCAATAAAGAATGAGAAAACACAGAACTAATTCAGCAAAGCATCAACAATTAGGAAAAATAATGTCCTTATTGAGAAAAAGAATAGAAAAATAGAAAAACGATTAAAATAAAATCTAAAAATTATGAAAATATGACTAAAAATCAAATAATAACAGAATAAGAATCTATAAAAAATTTCAGATTTTTTTGAAAATATAAAAATAGAAAATAAATCAAATAAAATAGGAAAATCAGGAATTTGCGATTTTTAGAATCAAAATCTTTTAGAATCATATTCTAAAGGTGTATTGTTCGTCGATTTGTTATAATTTTCTAGAAAAAAATTGGAGCAAATCAAAAAAAGTAGCTTCCAAACATATCTGATAGCCTGAAACACTTACCACTACACTGCAACCCTGTAAATCAACAGCAAAAACCAAAAACAAAAAAAAACAAAAAATCCAACATAATTCTAAACTAAAATTCTAAAATTGGCTAAAATCAACAAGAAATTCCGGCAATGGCGCCAATTTGACCAGTTGTTGCGCACGGATCAAAAACGAGTATTTTTGAAAAAGTAGTAAAGGGAAGCGACACTCAGATGTCGTATCGCAAGGATTCTTGTATTATTTCAACCAACTAAAAAAAATTTATGGGGGTTTTAAGTTTCGATTTATAAAACAAGAGAAAAAGTGATTAAAATAAGTGATTATCAATTAAGCTAAAATGGTTAATCCTACAGATTCAGATTCTGACTTATCATCGGCTATTATAACACCAATCCGTAAGCGGATTCGATCCTATTCGATTATGAGATCAATTAGACAAGCGTTTATCAAAATCAAATAAGTTATGTTCCTATTTACCGAATTAAGCAAACGGTTAAGAATATGACGAGTTAACGAATTAAGCAAACGATTACACGCAATTAAATTTAGGAACATGCATACAATCGAATTTAATCAATTATATCTTATGAACAACAATCAAATTAAGCAAATAACTTCATAGAAAATAATTGAAAGGAATCGAATTTAAATTGGTATTAGAATAACCTCAAAGCGATGGAACTCGTAAGCAGCGGGATTTTCCTTCGGGAATTAGTTCTCCATTCAAATCGTACAAGACAAAAGAAAAATCGTGAAAAGAAGTTCATGAACAGTAGAACGGATGCTTTTAGGTATAGGGAAGCATCACAAAATCCAGTTCTAACCCAACTGGGTCGAAAAACATAAAAAACCTGACCCAAAACTAAATATTCCTAAAGGCAGAATTCGGATTCTGACTTCAACGAATTATTCGAGTCTGCTACACTCCGAATCAGCTTCTTCCTACAACATGAAAGTTGTAACTCTTTGTATTAGCTTTCCAAGGCCTATTAGAATGCGTAAATCTGATTCTTGTAGCTCTAGTTATAATCTGAATAGTGGACAGGTATCAAATAACCGCTAATGCTGAAAATAAGCTGCGAAAATAGATTAAAGGTAAACAAAGACTTAGTTCTAAAAACATAATAAAACAGTAAAATAAACAAAACAAACTAAGGAAATGCTTAAATACAAACATAAGAGAATGTGCATTAAAATGCACTGATCAATGTCACATTTAGTGTGGGTCGCTTTTGTGACAACAAAATATAAACAAATTAGTTGATATCTCATGTGACAGACATATATAAACAAAAATTTAAACTAAATATAAAAGACATATACCTCGCCATGCCATAATCGTATGACCACATGCTCAGCATACTCTGTAAGCACAGACCGGTCGATGGGTCCTTCTGAAAATCCTCTATCAGTGTGCACAGAAGGCTCAGTCAAAGGAGTTGTAACCTCCGTGTCAACAGTAATCGATGGGCCTGACTCACCAACAGCAGCATTTGGTTGTACCTCCTCAACAGCCTCCTAAGCAACCTTTTGAGCAACTGGATTAACCACCTGAGCAACCAACGGCTCAACAACGGGATCAACTACAAGAACATCTGGCAGCACCTCATCTGTAGCCTGCTCTACTGACCGAACTGGTCGACGTCGAGTAGAACGAGGTGCCCAGAAATGACCACTTTCAAGTTTCAGGCATCCGCTTCCGGTGTGAACCAGTGAGGAACACTCGTTTTGCCTGTATCTGGGAAGACTCATCATCAGCACCTCTGACAGCCCTACCCTGATTTGATGCTCGATCTGCAGCTCTCTCTGCAATAGTACAGTTTTTGCCTCTGAATTTCACTACAAAAGAAGAAAAAAATAAATATTAGATAAAAAATAATGGCAAGTACCGAAAATTTCAAAATTTTCGGTATAAAACTAAATTTTTATAACTACCGGAAATTTCACAATTTCCAGTACAAGACTAGATTTTTAAAACTATCAAAAATTTTGAAATTTCCAATACAAAAATAAATTTTTATAACTAAGGGAAATTTTGAAATTTTCGGTAAAAAATATTGAGTTCTATACCGGAAATTTTAAAATTTTCGGTAGAAAATACATGAAGTTATAAAATTACAACTAAAAATTACCGAAATTTTCTAATATAAAATACCATAAATTAAAGAATTTTCGTGAAAAATTCACTTGTTTCAAAATTTCCGATAATTTTTAAAATGTCCGGTACAGTCTTTGAAATTAAAAATATCCTTTTTAGAACCATAAATTTTAAAATTGTGGAAGAAAAAAAATTCAGAGGTTATTTTGTCATTTCATACAAAATGAAGATGTGAAGTATAAGTGTGGATGACAGATTAATTCCTCGTAAAGTTAGGAATTGCCAGGCCCATCCTAGCCCAAACTGCAAATATATAAATAAATATATAAATAAACATAAATATAAAATCAGCAAAAACATAATATATGAAACGAATATCTGGAACTTTCTACAAAGATCGAGACTCACTCCTTTACATCACGATGAATTTCCAAAACCAGAAAGCTATAAACATATTGATCACATTCAATCATCAACTTCACCTTCCAAACATCAAGCTCTATCCACTAAATTCGTTAGACAACATAACAAATCACAGAGAAGAATTAAAACCGCAAAACTGAAGAGAAAAAGAGAAGAAATGGGTGCAGACTACTACAAAATCTTGCAGGTTGATAAGAATGCCAAAGACGAAGAATTGAAAAAGGCTTATAGAAAACTTGCCATGAAATGGCACCCCGATAAAAACCCAACCAACAAGAAAGATGCAGAAGCTAAGTTCAAGCAAATTTCTGAAGCTTATGAGGTATGTTTTGTAACGGGTGTTGTCAATTTTTTAGCTTTTTTGAAAATTATGAACGAAATAATGAAATTCAATAATCATTTTTATCTGGGTCATGCTTGGTTATGTTTATTTTCGTAAGGGTTTTATAAAAAATTTATCTTTCTGAAATTATCAGTGAAACTCAATTAACATTTTTATGTTGTGAATTGTGTTGATTATTGAAGGTACTTAGTGATCCTGAAAAGAGGGCAATCTATGATCAATATGGGGAAGAGGGTTTAAAGGGTCAAGTTCCTCCTCCTGATGCTGGAAGTGGTGGTGGAACTAGTTTTTATTCGACCGGAGATATTCCTGGATCGGTTCGGTTTAATCCGAGGAATGCAGATGACATTTTTGCTGAGTTTTTTGGATTCTCAAGACCATTTGGTGGCATGGGTGGAAGAGGTGGTAGTGGTGGCGGCGGTGGCGGTGGCATGAGATCTAGGGTCCTTGGTGGAATGTTTAGTGATGATATGTTTGGATCTTTTGGGGAAGGAGGAGGAGGAATGCATATGAATCAAGGTGTGCCGAGGAAAGCTCCTGCTATTGAGAACAAGTTGAGTTGCACTCTTGAGGAGATTTATAAAGGAACTACAAAGAAGATGAAGATCTCTAGAGAAATAGCTGATGCCAGTGGGTGAGTAGTTGATTTCACTCTGCTATTTCTTCTGTTTTTTTAATCCTAATATCTTCGATTTTGTGCTTGATGCAATAGTTGAAGTTTGATTTGGTAGTTTGATTTTGTGCTAGAGAAACTTTCTGGTTCAAATATTAACGATGTGTTATCTTTTCTTGTGATGTAGCAAAACCATGCCAGTGGAAGAGATATTGACCATAAGTGTGAAGCCTGGTTGGAAGAAAGGCACAAAGATCACCTTTCCAGAGAAGGGCAACGAACAGCCGAATGTAACCGCTGCAGATCTTATATTTGTGATCGACGAAAGGCCGCACAGCGTGTTCAGTCGGGAAGGAAACGACCTGATTGTGACTCAGAAGATATCTCTTGTGGAGGCGTTAACTGGTTATACAGTGCACCTCACTACACTGGATGGTAGAAACTTGAGCATACCAATCAACAATGTTATTCATCCTAACTATGAGGAGGTTGTTCCAAAAGAAGGGATGCCACTTCCTAAGGATCCATCGAAGAAGGGGAATTTGAGGATAAAGTTTAACATTAGGTTTCCAAGTCGGCTCAGTGATGAACAAAAAGCAGGAGTTAGGAAACTCTTGGGTGCCTCACTCTGAAATTGATCAGTTATGGAATGAGAATAGTCTACGGTGCCCCTGAAAATATTAGATTTTACCAATAAACTTGAATGTTTTTGTATGTGTATTGGATTTAGTGAACAAATTTAACATGTTTGATATAATAAATTGAGTGGTTTCTCTTCATGATTGAGAAGAGCAAGATACATACACAAACAATTCATAAAAATATGATTTCAAAAGTTTCGTTCACAATAGTTCAGAACCATAAAACAATACATGTACTTAAAACTATGCATGAAAGCCTTACAAAGTTCGGAATATATGTACTTAAATCTACGCATGAAAGCCTTGCAAAGTTCGGAATCTTTTTGAATTGGGTAGCTTGAAGGATATAAGATATCCATAATTTAAAAAAAAAAAAAATAAGTGGAATGGAACCCATATTGAATATAATGATGACGAGATACAATTATATCTAGAGAATTTCTTAATCCAATTCTTCACATTCATAGCTACTAAGCGCTTTTTCTTTTATGCTCTTATTTTTGAAGCAGTATCTTCGAACGCACTTTTTTTTTTAACACTAAATACTTTCGGAAATACATCTCCGAACTTTTATCAGAATATTTTTTTTTTAAGAAAAATTCAATTTTGTTGGTCGCAAACAAAAATTAATTGTTACAGATAAATATAAAATAACATACACCTGTAAAATAATATGATATATATATATATATATATATATATATATATATATATATATATATATATATATATATATATATATATATATATATATATATATATATATATATAAAAGAAGTCATAAAACACCACAGTCACTACTGTGCGTGTCTGACAACATCTATATCCTCTCCTCTTCCTATGCCTCTATCGCCTCCTCTGTCTCTACCGCCTCCTCGATCGTCTGGTCTGCGTCTTCGGCCATCGATCTCACCCGTCCTAGCGCGACGTCTGCGGTACATAAGTGTCCTTTGTGTCACCGCAATCATCTCATCCAATACACGTGTATGGCCAGACCCCTCAGGAAAGAAATCGGCGTCAATGCCTGTCCGCCCTAGCTGCACTATCTGACGACAGCGAGGTAGGACATCCTGAATGTGGTCCAACTGAGACTGCTTCTCTTCTAAAATCTCCTGATGAGCTGGTCTGAATGGTGATCTTTCGGCAGTTGGCATCATGTAGGGGTGTGAGACGGTGAAGAATCACATGATGTAGTCATCAACGCAACTCCAATCTCTTGGCGCTCTGGTCGGCCGAGCCTCGTCAGGTACCATGTACCTCTGTGTAATCAGGCACGCTCCCCCAACCGGCGATCATGGGAAAGTGCTGGAATATCCAAGCCTGAAATGAAAATTAAAAACATCATGATCAAGCATTATCATGAATATAGAATGAAAAGATCAAATGAAAAAAATTCGAAGGATATAAGATTGTTACCACAAGTAGTGACACGCTGTCTGCCACAGTCCTGGTCTTCCACAGGCATTCCTCTCCCAACCTCGAATATGTGCACGACGGTGTAGCCTCCCTCCAGTTGTACTCATGGATCTGTGTGAAATCCAAAAAGTACCTAAAGTAAGCGACATCGGTATATGTGGAGCTTGTGTCCACAAACAAATGAGTGCCGACTAAAAACAGAAAATAACACTGCAGCACACACTGCTTGTGTATCTCAACCTCAGCTGGATCACCATCCACCTGACGTGCAGCAGCGAACGCCTCACCAAAACGACGAGTCAGAAAGGAAAATCTCACATGAGCCCCTTCTGGACTTATCCACCTCCTCAAGCGCATCCAATGGATCAGCACAAGCTCCTCCACCAACATCTTTCTCGCATCCTCATTCTTCATTCTACAATGACGGAGGAAGGTACCCATGATAGGTATTTGTAACAGACAAGTGATATTGTCCAATGTAATCATGATCTCGTCGTGCGGTAGATGGAAGGAGGACGTCTCATGGTGCCATCACTCTGCAAATCCCATCAGCATCCCGTTGTGGATCAGGTCGTAATCGGTCTCACAAAGGTTCTTCAAACAAGAGGCGGCAAGGACGTCCTAGAACCAAGCCTCTCGTGGTTGATCCAAAGATAATATCTTCTGCCCATGGTTATAGACCTTCTGCAGAGGACGAGTTGAAAATTTTCATAAATAAGAAACAATAGTACAAATTATAAATTTCCAATGAAAAAAAAGAAATAATCTGAGTAATGTTACCTCTTCATCTCAGACATGTCTGACAGTATGATCGGCGTACACTGTTAGTAGAGACATATCTAAGGCACCCCCTGTGAAACCCTCAGGCTCACCATCATCGTCGTCACCAACATCCTCCGGTGGTGGGTCATCACCCATAGGTGGCACGGGATCAACATCATCGGCAGAAGGAGGAACAGGAGTATCCCGACGAGGCTTGCGAGAGGACGGGGCCTGTGATGAACTCTAGCTGAATCCCGACATAACCGGTATGAAGAAGTGGATGATGGGGTGGAATGCGAGGTTGAGGGAATGACCTGAGCATGTGACGAAGAAGGTTGTGTAGTAGGTTGTGCCTCAGCTGTATCGGCCTCGGTGACGGTGAACTGACTCCGCTCGCGTCTGACATATGCATGTTGTGAAATTTGTTCAAGTCGCAATCTATCGTCTCTGTCTGCCATAATGTTGTATAACCAAGAAAAAAATTAGGCACAAATAAATTAAAAAACAAAAAAGAAAAAAAATTAACATTTTATTACTTTCGGATATGTACACACGGAAACCTTCCGTAGATGTATCTACAAAAGTACCCAAAATTCACAACGTCTGATTTATTCCAGAGTTGCATATACAGAATTGCCCTAACGTTAATTTATTCTGTAGATGAAGCTCCGGAACTTTCTCCAACTTCTACCGCCACGACAATGGTGTTCCCTACCCATAAAAATTGATTTTTTGAAACCCTGATCATTTGTTTCAGTCAACAAACAATACCTACATTGTCTCTAAACTATGTTTAAACTATCTAACAATTTCTACCTCTAAAACTATATTTTAACTCATTTACGGGAAATACTCAAAAATACCTCGGAAACTCAAAAACTTACCGATTATATCGAGCTTTGAATGATTTGGAGTGTCTTGATCATTGAGATGAATGCTCCTTGTCAAACTTGATTGAAAAAAATTAAGTTCGGTGAAAAAAGATTTTTTGAGGATTGAGAGAGTTTGGAGAGTGAAGAAGATGAAAATTGTTAAAATACAAGAGACTAAGAGACATTTGAATAAACTGTGTGTTTTGAAAAGCACTACAGAGACGTTATTGTATATAGATAGATTACAACTAAGTACATGATATAATCGATATGAGACTATTCTATATACAAATATTCTTAACACTATATATATTTATAAATATCAACACTCCCCCTCAAGCTTGAGCATATAAGTCAAATGCACCAAGCTTGTTACATATATAATTAGTTCCGGGGACTTCGTAGGGATTTTGTAAACACATCTGCCAATTGATCATTAGAGTTGACAAAGCTTGTGACGATGTCTCCTGACTCGATCTTCTCTCTGACAAAGTGACAGTCTATCTCAATATGTTTGGTCCTCTCATGGAAGACTGGATTTGAAGCAATGTGCAATGCAACTTGATTATCACAAATAAGTGGCATTGGTCTTGCTTCTTCAATTTGAAGTTCCTTGAGCAACTGTTTTAACCAAATAAGTTCACATGTTGCCATTGCCATGGCCTTATACTCTGCATCGGCGCTTGATCTTTCAACTACATTTTGTTTCTTACTTTTCCAGGATATAAGGTTTCCTCCAACAAGTACACAATATCCAGAGGTGGATCGTCTATCAATGGGTGACCCTGCCACACCAGCATCGGAGTATCCAATTATCTAGTTATGTCATTTATCCTCATACACAAGACCTTTTCCTGGAGCACATTTGATGTATCTCAGAATCCGTATAACAGCGTCCATGTGTTCCTGACAAGGGGAATTTAAGAACTAGCTTACCACACTGACTGCAAAAGAAATGTCTGAATGAGTGACTGTGAAATAATTCAACTTTCCAACCAATCTCCTATACCTTCCTGAGTCAGATAGAGGCTCCTCCTGATTGGGTAGTAGTTTAACACTTGGATCCATAGAAGTATCGGTTGGTTTAGCATTTAACAAACATGTTTCTTCCAAAATATCCATAGTATATTTCCGCTGAGAAATCATCAAACCATCTTTAGATTGAGCTACTTCAATACTCAAGAAATAGCGGAGTTTACCAAGATCTTTTGTTTGAAATTGTTTCGAGAGATGTTGTTTCAACTAGAGTATTCCCTGCTGATCACTACCAGTTATGACAATGTCATTTACATACACAATAAGATAAATACACCCTTGGGGTGAGTGACGATAAAAAACATAATGGTCAGCTTCACTATGGATCATACCAAATTGTTGTACTACAGAGCTAAATCTGCCAAACCAAGCTCTCGAAGATTGCTTAAGATCATAAAGAGACTTGTGTAGCCTACAAACCATATCTGGTGACTCCTCCTGAGCAACAAACCCGGGTGGTTGCTCCATATATACTTCTTCTTCAAGATCACCATGTAAGAATGCATTTTTGATGTCAAGTTGTTGAAGAGACCAATGTCGAATGGCTGCAATGGCTAGAAGAAGTCGAATAGATGCCATCTTAGCTACAAGCGAAAAGGTATCACTATAATCCAACCCAAAAATTTGAGTGTATCCTTTGGCTACCAAGCGAGCTTTAAATCAAACAATCTTACCATCTGGACCAACCTTCACTGTATAAAGCCAACGACAACCTACTAAAGATTTTCCATGGGATAGAGGAACCAATTCCCATGTACCACTGCTTTGAAGAGCACACATTTCATCAATCATTGCTTGCCTCCACTCAGGGTAAGATAATGCTTCACTTTGAGTTTTAGGAATAGAAATAGAAGACAAAGAAGACAAACAAGTATACTGCAAAGGGGAAAGACGATGATAACATAAATCAATATAATATGGAGAAGGATTTCGTGTTTGACATATACCTTTCGAAGGGCAATTGGAAGATCAGACTCAGGTTACAGGATCGGATTCGGTGATGGCGAGAGTGTCGTAGGAGATCCCGTAGTGACCTCAGGGACAGGTACGACTTCAGGGACAGATACGACTTCAGGGACAGGTACGACAGACGTTGGGTGACGACGCTGATATGTTTGAAGTGGGCAAGGAGTGGGGGGGTCAACCGTAGGGGTATCTAGTGGGTCATATTCCCTAAAATGATGGGGGATAATGACATATGAGACTTCCGGAAGAGGTGTGGGAATACTTTCCTGTAGAGGTTCTGTAGTTACTTGGCTAGACTCGAAATATGGAACAGACTCGAAGAAGGTAACATCGGCCGATACAAGGTATCATTGTAGAGTATGTGAGTAGCAACAATAACCCTTTTGGGATCGATGATAGCCAAGAAAGACACACTTTAGTGATTGAGCTGATAGTTTATCAAGACCAGGGGAGAGATTGTGTACAAAACACGTAGACCCGAAGACTCGAGGAGGAATTGGGTGGAGTGGAGAGTTTTGGAAACAAGATTGAATGAGGGATTTTATTATTAAAGACAGATGAGGGCATGCGATTTATGAGGTAACATACCGTGAGCACCGCATCTCTCCAAAACCGAAGAGGAACATTACCATGGAGAATTAGGGTCCGAGTAGTTTCTACGAGGTGCCGATTTTTGCGTTCGGCTACCCCATTTTGTTGGGGTGTATGAGGGCAATACGTCTGGTGCAAAATACCATTGGATGACATAAATGTTTGAAATTGTTAGGATAAATATTCACGTGCATTGTCACTTCTTAAGGTACGAATAGACAAACCAAATTGGGCTCTTATTTCTCGATAAAATTGTTCAAAAATAGAAAACAATTCAGATATATTCTTCATTAAAAATCATCAATAAAGGTGACAAAATACCTAGACTCAAGAGTAGAGACAGTATGCGAGGGACCCCAAACATCGGTGTGAACTAAAGCAAAAGGGGACGAAGCTCGTTTGTTGACTCGATTGGGAAATTGACTACGAGTGTGTTTCCCTAACTGGCATGACTCACAATGTAAATTAGATACCTTCGATAAATTTGACACCAACTTATGTAATTTGAAAAGACTGGGATGACCTAACTGAGCATGGATAGTGAGTGGAGAATCTTTGGTTGAGCATGTATGAGATGACAAAGAGATGTAGTAAAGGCCTTGAGACTCATATCTGACACCAATCGTCTTTCCTGAACTCCGATCCTGCAAGGTAACATTATTGTTAGTGAAGGAAATACTACAATCAAGAGAACGAGTTAAACGACTGACTGAAAGTAAATTAAATAGACAACTAGGTACATAGAGGACAAAAGTAATAGATAGAGAAGGTAGAATTTGAACAGTATCAATCCCTTCGGATCGGGTTTGAGAACCATTGGCAGAAATTATAGTAGGTAAGAAACCAGAGGTAGAGAGGGAAGAGAAAAAAAATTTATTACTAGTAACATGATCAGACGCACTAGAATCAAAGACCCAAGGTCGAAGAGGAGATGATTGAGAGAGGCAAACAGATGAATTACCAGTGTGTGCTACCGTAGCAGTAGAATCTGAGTTCTGACAATTCTGATACCACTTAAAGAAATCATCATAGTTTGGTGTAAAGTTCTGAGGAGTAGTCATGAGTATCTGAAGAGAGAAAATATCACGCGACCGGTCGTCGGACGTGTTGTCACGTGCGGTTTAGGTGGCGGTGCGCGATGCCCACGCGCGGAGACGGAGGTGGTGAGTGTGGGCGCGTGCGGAGGTTTCTGCCAATGAAAAAGTTTGTCTGAAGGTCGCCGCGAATAGTAGCGACGGCGGCGGCTATGCGGTTATGACCGGAGAATGTTGAAAACTGATGGTGAGATCGGCTTTTTGAAACGTCGCTGAAAGTTTTGTCGGAACAGTTACGGCGGCAGTGACGGCAGGGTGGTCACCGGAGAATTTTGAAAAGTGAGGCAAACCGAAGTGACAACACAATTTGCAAAAAAAAAATTAAAAAAATTTCTCACCGGAAGACAATGGGTCAACCGGGTAAAACATGGCGAAGAAAGAATTGTCTCTTAGCAGACTCTGATACCATGTTAAAATACAAGAGACTAAGAGACATTTGAATAAACCGTGTTTTGAAAAGCATTACGGAGACATTATTATAGATAGATTACAACTAAGTACATGATATAATCGATGTGGGATTATTCTATATAAAAATATTCTTAACACTATATATATTTACAAATATAAAAAAAAAATGAAGAATGAGAGAGGAGAAGAGACTCTGTCGCGAATGTATTCTAATATGTTCTAGAGTTACATAAACGAAAACATTTTGTAGATGTAGCTCCGAAAAAAGTCAATGCTGAGTAAAAAAAAAGTGCGTCCGAAGATACATCTCTAAAAACAGAAGGTATTTTTAGAAGCGTACATGATGCTTAAGAATCTCAAAGAGTGGGATAAGAAATTTTCTTATATATATCAAGGTTAAGAGAATCATTATAGTTCATTTTAGAAGAAAATTTTAGGGCATACTCTATTGGTTTGGTGGAAATGATATTGTATATTAATGTTGCTATCTTAGTGTTGGATGAGCTTATCTACAATGAACAATTTAAGTTAAAACATAAAGTAAGAAATATTAACTATTAACAAACATAAAATGATCTATACAATAAATTATTGTTAAAATTTTAGCCCTTTATTTTTTAATTTCACCATCTCCCCACCAATCCTCTTTCCCACTCTATCTCTTTTTCACAGTTCTTTCTTTTACCTTTTCTTCACTAATATTCTCTCAATATCTCTTTTGCATTAGGGGGAGATGATCTATTTCACACTCCAAAGAGTCAAAACCCTTACTGAGTATAACTAATTTATATAAGTATTGTATGGTCTGATGTCTAGATTAAAGAAAAATATAATCAATTTCCTTTATCCTCGAATAGATCATTTCAAATATTAGGCCTATTCCTACATGATTACTAAATAAAATTACAAATTTTAACTTATGGCCTATTTATACTTCATACATTTTGTGCTACATTTAATCACTGTAATCTAATGATGTAGAACCAACATCATCTGGATCCTCGGCTTTTTCTGCATTTTCTTCTCTGTTGTACCCTATATTTGAATCCCTTCCAATTATATTAAGATCCACCTGCCCATCTTCAATGTCATCATCGACATTGTCATCCATATCCACATCCTCCTCATCATCCACATTATAGTGGCTCTGTTCTATTAAGTTCTCAGATTTCCCATTAAATCCACCCTGAGATCCATCATTATTATTGTCTACCAGATAATCACACTTGTCTACTGTTGCTCGATAAAGATCACCTTCATAGTCTGATCTTTCCGAATTGCTAGTATTTAGAACATTCGCTTCTGTTTCATCTTCGTTAACTTCCTTTCTGATAATCACATTCATCTTGGCTGCTGCTGGTTTCTGCCTGCTTCTGATGCTCCTCCGACCACGAACGTGTCCTTGTCTGTTTGGTGTCCCTTTCCATCCAAGTAATTTTCCAAGTCTCCTGCTGTTAGACGTAGTGCTTCTCTTTCTGGAAGTGGATCTTGAACTAGCAACTCTTCCTTGTGATCTTTGACCATGAGAGTGGCTGTGGCCTTGTTGAGTCCTTTGTCCTCTACTGTAGCTCCCAAGGCCAGAACCAAGAGCACCCCAGTTCTCTACAGTATGCTTAGCCTGAAATGAAGATTCAAATGCACCAGCATTGTAGGAAATTTTGGCAGCAGCAGATTTTGATGGAAGCTTCTGAAAGGTAGATATCATGAATTATAGGGGAAATTCAAATAGAAACATACATAGGCCAATAATATAAAAGCCTAATCAGGAAAAACAATGACTGCATCCACACTAATTTCACTTTTTCAGCATAGATCACTATGAAAGCAGGATGACAGAAACACTTACCATAGCAATTCCAATTTGTTTATCCTTCTCGGACTCCAGATTTTGTTGTGAAGTGTAAAAGATGCATGCATCAAGTTCCATGAGCCTTAGAGTCACAGCAGCAGTTGTACATGGCACCCATGGAAGCATAGGTATCCTTTCACCACGAATGATATCATTAGGATGACATCCAGAAGAGCAAACAGAACCTAACAGCTCACTGGTAGTTTCATATTCTGAAGCCAAATACTCCCTTTTTGTAGCACATTCCAATGTAGTCAACATCTAAGAAAGATGCGATGATGTCATTGACAATAGACAGTAGTAACAAGGTAAACAAGTAATAAAAGCTATACACATTCCAGTAATGTCAAGGAAGAAATAAAGAAGAGCACACAAGAAAACATGTTATGGTGAATGAAACCTACACGTTAAATTTTTAAACATTCAAACTAACACAATAACTATTAACTAGGTGTATACCCAACTACACATCAAGTAGGGTGAAGAAAAGGTCTTTCCATTAAAGGATTAAATATATTGAGGTCGAACGTTATTAATTTTAGAAATATTATGTGATAGTGAAACAAATTCAAGACTTCTTCAGCCTGTTATCAATTAGCAGCCATCTTCACCAAATTGCTGTAAGGTCTAAGAATAGCAAACATATGTAATAAATTGGATGCATGTGACATATAGCTCCAGAATAAGGAGTGTTGATTGTTCCATATCTCTGATCTTTTCTAAATCCTTAAGTTTTGGAGATTCCTTTTTACACACAGCTTGTGTGGGAGAGTGTAACAACAATTAAATTATAAGAGATTAAAATTCAGTAATTACTGCTTTTCCAACCATAATAATGACCCCAGATTTCTTTAGTCTTAATCATCCAAAACAAAGATCAAATTTGAGCTTGAGCATTTTTGCAACAACCATAACACTGGCCAAAACAAAGATCAAATTTGAGCTTGAGCATTTTTGCAACAACCATAACACTGGCCAAAACAAAAGCATTTAAACTAATGATAACTAACAAGTTAGAAGTTCCAAAGCATGAGCATGCTCTATCAAGACATGCCAGATTACAACCTGCAGAATGTCTTCAGTTGATGATGAATCTTCCAGCTTTGAACTCCAGGACTTCCTATACCTCTCTGTCCAAAAAGGTTGAAGAGCTTCTTGAGGAAGAGATGCCTACAATACAGAACCAAACACTATCAGTGGAAAAAAATAGCAACTTTATCTGAACAGCTTATTAGCATCCTCTCATGTGCAATTTAACAAAGACTGTGCCATGTCAACTCATCTCAACCGTGTATTTTTTATAATAAATAATCAGTTTAAAATTAAAATGCAAATTGAGTTGGTAGTTTTCACTTTTGTTTCCTCTCTCCCTGTTCTTTCTTGGACTGGATTTCAACTACAATTTTGTCTCCAATGTTCAGGGCTTGTGTGCTCTTGTGTTTTCTTCTATAATTTTCATGACGTTCCAGCAATAGTCATGATTCATGTGTTTTCTGCTACTTGCAAGCCACCACACTAGCAAGTATTCTTTTAATGCCTCCAAATCCAACGTAAATATTTTATTAACTTTGACAATGAGAGCTCGAACAAAGACATGGGAGGGAGAGGGAAGCCTGGTACAGAGGAAGTGGGTGACTAGATCTGTAGATGGAATCAGAAAACTACCACCAATTTGTAATTTATGCCACTAAATTATTTTTAAAATAGAAAAATGTCGAGAATATAAGATTGACATAGTCATGTTAAACCACCACATGAGAGGATCCCAGCCCTCCTAACAAATTTTCATAGTGACAGTAAAATACAAAGATTGTCACCTCAACAACTGACAAGAGGATTTTGAGCAATCTCATCCTCAATGGGGAAGAGGATGAATCAAGAAATAAATGAGGGTCGATCTTCATTTTGTCTTCAGAACGAGCAATATGTTCATAAGAACTAGAGTTTCCATGACTAGTACTGAAAGTTCTATGGCATGAAGGACATGGTGTTCCTCTACAGAAATAGACATGATGGCACAAATCACACATGAGAAGTAGTTCGTTGCACCTTTTCTTCCCAAACTTCATTGCACGTGATACTGAGCTATTTAGACATTCCTTTCGCATCCATTTCTCAAAGTCCCAATATCTCATATAAGCATCTTTGTTCTCAGCCTCATTTCTCCCAAGCTGAACCGCAAAAGAAGTTGAAGCCACTGATGTGTTCAAATCATCCATGCAGACAGAAGTAGGACAGTAAATATTAGTACTGCAATCTTGGTCTGTGGCCACTTTAACTGCTTCTGTCTTGAGTTTTTCGACAGTGTCTCCATTTTGCATTTTCGCGTCATTTTGGACATTTCTTCTAACAGATTCTTTGAAGGACATCTCAATTCTTTGCAATGTCATATGCAAGTGGGACTCCCTGATTCCACGTACATCCAATGATGCCAATAGAGCATCAAAACCCTGGATGTAAACAAATGCAATGAAGAAAACCAACAAAAAAACAGAATAAATACCTAGCATAATCTAGAATAATATCTAGGATAATCCAGAGCATACAGGCTACAACAAACAAACTAGTTCATGTCTCATATTAAGTGTCACCCCTCAAATATTTGCTTTTTTGGTATTATTTATTATTTCAGAATACAAGTGAAGCATTAATTTTTTTCACCGATATCATTATTTTTTGTATCTCAACCCACCTAATCACTTTCTTAATAAGGTTATTTTAGTCAACAAAGCTCGGTTTACGTGGAAGGTTGTGGACTCTTGTGGAATCAAAGTCTTGCAAATGCAAGGTGAGGCTGCCCACAATAGTTTGATAATGGATCCGACACTTCTTTGGACCCTGTCATGCCGCGAGCGTTGCAGAACCAGGAAACATTCATGATAATAATACTTAATATCTAATGCTAAATAACCTGCTACACAATGCTTGGTTAAGTATAGACTAGACATAATCGGTGCTAATAAGAAAATGGACAATAATAACACTTGGAAATCATATTATAAATTAATGATCATTAAAGATTAGTTCAGCTTAGTGGAAGCAATACCTCTTCAGAATCAATCAGCTTCCAACAGCCATCATGCGATTCCACAAAAATCCTGCCACAACCTGGATCGCTTTGAGAAGCAGAAGTAATGAATTGCCAGTATCGGTTTCGTCTTCGATCCAAACCAAGAGGCAATGATCTACACGTGAAAGTTTGTTCCCCTAATTGACCAATATATGATTTAAAACCCGACCTTGATTTTTCAGCAACGTGAATAGATTGTTGAAGAGAATAATTATCTGGGCCAGTGGAACAATCTTGCCTCTGCAAGTTCGCTTCTAATAAATTCTGCATAAGATTTTGATTTTCCTGCAGTGAATTTATCTGCTCATGCTGGTCACAGGGAGTGAGTAAAGCCTTGTCATTTTCAACTTCAACAGTATGCACTGGGCAGTCTTTACCCCCCACTGATGGAAATGTAACAGCTGGTTCACTCTTGTTTCCCAAATTTGAGAAAGGTGGAATTTTAACAAAATAATCCTCTTTAATACGGCGTTTATCAAGTTGTGCCTCAGCCCACATCTGCTTCTTTAAAGCATTTGCGGCTTCTAGACGTTCCTGCAACATTGCTCATATACAACACAGACAGAAACGCAAAAATCATTTTCAAGGACAAACACAAGTCAATAATGAAAAATTAAGGCATGAAACTAAAAGAAAATACCTCAAGTGCAACACGAATAGAATTCCCTTCAATTGCCACAGTAGTCAAAGCAACAAGTGCGTGAAGACGCTCCTCTATGCTAAGATCTGAGTACTCTCCCTCCATAAGCCCTTGTACCCATGGTTCACCAAGAGTGCTTTCATCAACATCTATGCCTTTTAGAATAGGATTAGCAACGTCATTGCTGCAAACAGCAATTTCACTAGATTTAACAATAGTGTTTGCATTAAATTCATCATGACTTGAGACCTCCTTTTTCACGTTTGTTTGAACTCTTAATTTATCATTCTCAGGATTTTTTGCCACATCAGTTTCACAATCATCATCCCTTTCACCATCATCAGCTTCTTCTGCACCCACGAGTCCGCTTTTGAATATCCTGATTCTTTCCCTGGCAGCTGAATAAATTGCTTCAGAATCAGCTGGGTCCTTTCTGTATGCAGGACGTACACAATATGTTGAAGGAGCTGTCTTTTCAAATAGTTCTGCATCCCTAGACAAAGCAGAAGATATAGAAGCCTCTGGTGTTTTGCTAGTTGTAAGATCACGGAGTCCAGATTTCTAAATAACAAAAATAATAGAATGAGAAAATTGAATAGGTATCATGAGACACGGAAAGAATAGTTAAACCTGAATCTTGTCTGCAACTTCCAATATATTGAGGCCTCTGCTTCCTTCCAAAGAAAGCACATGAAATGCAGCATATTTAACAGTTCCAGGCGTCAAACGATGCCTATTTCTTCTTGGATTAGATAAACCCTTCCCGTGCATAATAGCAATCGCATTTTCAACAGCAGCTCCATTTCGTAGACTAGAAATTATATCTTTACCATCATTACCCTGCACTTGGAACCCGGAAGGAGATAGAGAAAAACGACCACAACCAAACCAAACAAAAAATTAAAATCACAATTTGTTATTAAATGTCTAAAAAACATTTTATATGCAACAACTAATTATGAGTATGAGCACAATCACGTATTCATAAACATGTGTGCAAAATTTTGTCTCACTCATCTAAAAATGTACTAATATTCTCACAATTTCATTGCTTGTGAGAGAGAGGAGGGTGAATGATTTGGACCCTATTTCCTCCAACCTCCCTTTCAAAAAATATTAATTAAAAACCATTCCTTTTTATTTTGCTTTATGTTGTACTTCTCTTATAGTTTTTTTAGATTTTCCTCTATCTCTAATATTTGACTACCCTCCATCTGATAGACTCTCCTTACTATAGAATACACAAGTCTTCTTTCTACTATAGGTGCTACTCTAACACTCTTTAATATTGTCATTTCTAATCTTATATCGCCAAGTATTACCACACATCCAACACATCATCTTCATATCTACTACACTTAATTTATTTTTATGTTGGTTCTTTACCAACCAACATTTTGTCCCTTACAACATCACCGGTCTTACAGTTGTCCGATAAAATTTTTACCAATACTTTTGTGTCACATAAAACTTTTGAGGCCCTGCTCCATTTCAATCACCCAACTTGAATTTGATGATTCAAGTCTCCTATTTCTCCATCGTTTTGTAAAACACCTGATGCACCTTTAACGCAAGTTTGTTTTTTTAGACGAGGCATTGGTTGATGAAAATATCATAACAGTTGTACATGATAATTTTTCATTACAAAATTCCCACAATTGATGACACTAGAGTTCCAATCGAAACAATTAGTGATGAATGGAGTACATAGAAATTACCTCATGGTTGCTAGGATGCAATGGCTCAATATTATGTTTCTTCAATTGAGGCCCAAATCCAGCTGACAACGCAAATTGTCGCAAAATCTCTGGCCATGTTAATGGATTTAAATGCCGCTGCCAATTTCTTATATCAAAACCCCATGCATATGCCTGACGGTATATATCAAAAAGGTTTTTTTAGTTTAAGGTAAAAACAATGAAAGTATATTGGAAGCTGAAAAATGAAAAAAGAAAACTTACCCCTTCAACTATCTGTGGATGCCCCCCACCAGAGTTCGTAACACTATTTTGGTTAGCTCCTAATCCAGTAGTGGGTGTTCTTGCAACATCTTCAATATCTTTCATAATGGATCTCAGAAGAGCAATATGGATCTCACCTAACAACCTAGGGTCCTGCAATATTGAGAGAAAATAGTGATCCTCTGTTGACAAAGAGCACTGTTAGCAACATGTAGTGTTTGCCTAAGTTCATTGCAAGTATCTATGTTCAGGGAACCAGGTTTCGTGCAAATATATTAGTTAGGAAAATTGCCTCCTGGTATTCATTTTATAAATATTGAACCCTTGGTTTGGACAAGCACATGCTAAGCAATAATTTAGGAGAAACAATACCTTGGATAGGGACTTTAAAGGGAAGACTAACCAAAGGATTAGAAAGGAATACTTACATAATCATGAAAAGCTTGTATAAGCTCATCCAATGTAAATGGCCATATTCCAAAAATATCAGCAAAGGTAATCAAGAACTTCCAAACCTACATATAAAGCACTTCTATTCATCATAGCTGAGAAAATTTTGTAAGCTGTAGATGGTAACAAATGCAATAAAAGTTTATACTTCGAACAATTTGGTACAGCTTAATTGTTTGAAGCCACGATAATAAAAACAGGCAAACCCGGGCATTTGTTTGACGGCCTGGTGGGGATTAGCGAACACAACAAAAAATAACTTAATTTCCAAAGTGGCGATGGGTTTAATAACAATACATTTCACTAAAAATAAAGACCAAGCAGAAAATAAAGTCAGCCATTTGGCACAAGATAATGCATAATCAGCAACATATTTGAACCATAAACCATAACTAGGGATATAAGGAAGGAACTAAGGGATCTTAATTTTTTGATTTACATGAGTGAAGGAAGAGCTTTTCATAACTTTATATAGCCTCTTGGCCTTTCAGGTGGTAATAAAATCAATGTCCGAGTCAATTCCATTTATGAGTCAGTAAAGTTTTCCAAAAAACACATAAATGGGTAAAACCTCTTACCATCAGAAGATTTCCCACATTCTCGTCAGAATCTGCCCAAGGTTGAATTGAAAAAGCTCTTTTCAACTGTACAGACTTGGGTGGGAAGGAAGTAAGCCCATCTGAAAAACCAGTGCACGTTTGGTTTCAATCCATGTTCTAGGAAATCACTTTTTTAGGTATATGTATGAGTATAACTATTTCAGATTAAAAACATTCAAATTTGAAGCAATCATAATAAAGATATACAGAACTGTGACAGATTTTGGTTGATCCATTTAATCTAAGGGGCGGCAATTGTGATGATTTTGTCAATAACTTTGAAAGTAACACATGCAAATGGTAATTAGAAAAGGTACCATTTGTACAAAAGCTAGATTTTAATATTCGAATTGTTATTTTCCCAGCATTGTAAAGAGAAAAGGGTACATTTGCACAAAATCTAGCCTTCTCAAATCTCTCGTAATAGTATCACGTCTTCTTCGCATCTTCTTTGCCATGTATATCTCGCATCTTCTACTCTAACTTTTCCTCTCTTGTGTTCTTTCTTATTCATCTTCTCATTTTTATGCTAATGTTATATCTTCCAATTACGTTTTTATCGCACATTTCTTCTCTAACCTCACATCTCTTCTGTTCTTTCTTTTTCATTTTCTTTACTCTCTCCTCTCCTCTGTTTTTTTCTATTTCATTATAATGTTTTTTATATTGTTTTATGCTACTATTTTTATGTTTTTTATTCCACTTTTGTCTAATCTGATTTTTGTATATTGAATGGGAAGTTGTTGTCCAAATATGATGAATTTTATTGTTGTTTGGTAACGTATGAAGGATAAAACAAAAAGTTATGTTGTTCCCTATATGTGTATGTATGGCTCAATAAAAATATTGTAAGAACCCGAACCAACCCAAAGCGCATTAGTTTGGTTTGGTTTTATTTCTATTTGTCAACCGAACCAAACCGAAGCGCACGTTTTTTTCTCTTACGGTTCGGATGACTTTTAGGGTCAAAACCGCCCAAACCGCACCGCGAACACCCCTAGGTTGTAATATCCCTACAAATGCCAACTAATAATGCTGAAGAATAAAATTACAACAGGTTTTACCTATTTTCTTCTAATAAAACTGATAGATGGTTCCTACTGTAAACACAAATGAGCAGAAAGTATAAGTAAAGTACTAAAATTATTCACCTCCATATGATTCAAGATTTTGCATAGTATCGTAGTCAAGAGCCAGTATTGAAGATAACCCCTTCTTTGATGCAGCTAATTCCATGAGTTCCAGATGTTCATCTTCAATAAGGTCTATTGCATCTTTGACCATTCTGCGGGCAATAGCTCTCTCACTTGCAGCTTTAATCCTTGCCGCCTCCTTCACCCTCTGCAGTTCTTCCTTCTGTTTCAGTTTCTCAGCCTACAAAAACAAAGAGCATAAGCATCTCTTATATTCACACAACGGATCAGAGTGATTGGCAATTTGGCAGAACAATCTTACATACTCTGATTGATTCCTTCTGCAAAATCTTTTCCTGTCGCTCTTGCTCACGCTTCTGTTCTCTAAGGTACCTCTCCTTTTCCTTCTGCCTTTCACGTTCTTGTCTCTCCGTCTCTTTCTTTATTTGCTCCTCTCTCTTTATGTAAGAAAAAACAATATAAGCAACAGAATAAATATAATCGCCAAGGAGGAAAAAAATAAATGGAGACCAACTCTGCCCAATACCTTTTGTCTTAGAATATCCTGTTTTACAAGTTCTTTTCTAATTCTTTTCTCTTGCACTTCAAGTTCCCGTTGCAATCTAGCCTCTTCATTCTGAAAATAAGACAAGTCATGAACAGCCACTCTATAGTAATAAAACATGTTGGTATTATGTGATGCAGATACCTTTCGCTTCCTTTGAAACCTTGAAAGTTCATCCTCATGGATAACACTCCTATCAGACAGCACTAGAGGGGTGTTAATCAGAGTTAGTTGGTGAGCCCCCCTTTGAGTGTCAAGAGTTACATCCACAAATGGGTTTCGTGGAACATCATCATTCCCTCCTAAAGCAGAAAGCATGAGATGATTTGGCCTACTTTGCTGAGACTCAGACAAAAGATTTAGACCAGGTATCTTCTGACCTTGGACTCCATACACCTTAGGTGCAGATTCATTCCCATTAAGGAAAGACGGCCCACTAGAATGTGGAACACCATCAAGAGAACTAAAGTGAGCAGATGTAGTATCTCTCTCATATATCTCATTTCTAACAGTTGGCTGCTCTGGAATAAATTGATATTCATGGAGAGTCCTTGAAATGCCCTAGAAATTGAACTTCTTCAGCTAAGAGATAAAGATATTTGTTCACCCATGATAAAATATATAACTACAAAAAAGGAAGCGAATAACGACCAAATATACAGACAAAATATAATATTTAAATATTCAATTGATATAGTTGAAATGAACAACTTATAAATTGTGCTAAATTACTCAACAGATTTCTTTGTAATAGTATATTATCCAACAAATTTCTTTAAAACTATGCAATGGTAAAGTAAGGAGGAATAAAAACAGAACAGAAATCTAACCTTATCTATATGTTCATAAACTTTTGCCTCAACAGGCCATTCAGATTGGCTGTTTTGCCCCATTGCAACTGCCCCTGGATTTATATAATTGTCAAGGGCTCAATAGCTTAGTACTTAAATTAAAGCCATGCCAATTTTAAGGATCAACTTGCTTATGCTTTTAAAGACAAGCTATTTTATTAAAAAAATTGTTTAAATCTTTATGAGAATAAGAAAATTCTTTAGGAAAAATACTGTTTAAACATATATATCACAAGAGTGTTTTTTTTAATGTTTACTGGCATCGATAATTAGATTTTAATTGATAAACTTTTAAAAAACAAAACACAAATTGAGCAGACTTCTCTCAAGCACAATTTGACTAAAAATTCTAAGCACACTTCTTTTCCAAAATCACATTCAAAACTTTCTGAGATTTATTTTTATTTTATTTTATTAGTACAAGGCCTGCTAAATTTAGGTTTATCTTTATTTAAGTTAGGTTATTCTCCTAAAGTAAATTATAACTCTGAAGTATATTAAAATATTTTTTCTACATGGTATTATCAACTCCAGATTTTGGTGTCTTGCCTCCATTTAAATCCTAACTGCCGTCATTGCGGTTTATTTTATTTTCGTCTTAATCGAGTTGTATGAAATTTCAAGGCATTGTTCACAATGAAGGAACCTTACATTCCGGCGACATTGTTCATGTGTCAGCACTGTTCACCCCAAAGTATTGTCCATCCGCACTCATTGTTCATATGACGGTACTGATCAACCCAGAGTACTGTTCATCCACACTCATTGTTCATGTGTCGGTACTATTCATTACGCCGACATTGTTTGTTTCTTTTATTGATGATTGTTCTCGAATAACTTGAATTTTCTTGATGAATAATAAATTAGAAATACAATACTTATTTATTCAACTTATGGTGTGATACAGACACAATTTAAGAAAGGTATTACAAGAACATGTTTCTACAATCGTCAAGAATTTGTCAATAATGATTTTTACAACTTTACCGATAAACAGGTATCATCCATAAATTCCCATGTGTCGAAATCCCACAACAAAATAGCAATGTAAAAAGAAAAAATTGTAACTTACTTCTAACTCTTTTCTTCCAAACGTCTCTTCCAAAATTAAATTGGGGTGAAGCAATTTTGACCATTGCTTATCTAATTAATCGTGTGTCATCTCGAATTATATGTAATGTTAGTTATGTTCGATTCATGATCTCCCTTTTTCTTTCTGCTTCTATGTTGCATGTTATTGAATCTCGGCTTTTGTCCATGTCTATAAGCAACACCGGACTTGGTTGAATTCATGTGCACTTAGATGTATCTTTGTGGGTTATCCTCCAAACAGAAGAGGACACAAATGTTATCATCCTCCCAGCCGCAAGTACTTTGCTTTTAAAGATGTCACCCTTCACAAAAATGTGTCTTACTTCACTCATCCTCAGCCTGAAATGGTGTACTTGGTTTCTAAAGATGTTGTCTTTCACAAAAATGTGTCTTACTTCACTCGTCCTCAACCTCAGAGCGGGAGCATGAATGAGCGTGACTCTGAGTTAGTAATCCTCAATCAAAACTTCCCTAAAACGACGAGGTATACTTCTTAGCCTGAGTTGTCACATATTATGAGTGAATCTACTCTTTGTCATAGTCCTGAATCTACATCTAGTCCTATTCTCATTCCTCCATTATCTTTTGTTTTGCGGAACTAGCACTTTCGGCACCAACTACTGTGTGTGCATCAGAGAAAAAGTAAATCTGACCAGTTTCAGAAACAACTTCAATAGCCTGAACCAGGTAAGTACCGAAAACCTATAGTAATTGCCTATATTGGATTTATTCTTATAATATGTATAATGTATGAACTAAAATAAATATGAACAAATATTATACGGACTAACTAAAACAAAACAAGATCAAAGCAAATTTTATATGTTGCATTAAAATAGACAGCAAAAGAACTGCCAAGATATTTTTTAGGGACTAAACCAGATAATATGAATACAATAGGGACTAAAATGTTAACTTTTTCCCCTTCCCACCCTTCTTGCCATCTACCCTTGCAAAACCATAAGAACACAATTGCAATTAGAAAACCAAGTTTACCTAATGGTGCACCAAATGCACCCGGCGGCAAGGAATCAAATTCCATTCCAAGAATAGGTCCATCCTCTCTTAATGTCTCTCCCAACTGTCTTTCCACCAACGCAACAGCTCGTAGCTCCTGCAATGTCTGATGAGCTTCATGGCAACTACTGCTTTCCAATGCAGGCAATCCAGCTCCCATCCTAGTAAATCCCATCACCCCATACTGTGCCACAACTCGCTGTGCATGCATAACATCAGCAACTGCTATTTGCTCAACACCCTCCTCTCCCATTGAAGCCAAACTCGCTGCCGCAACCTTATTAACCATTGGTGAAGCCTTCCTATCCTTCACTCTCCGGTGACAAAACCACATCTGTAACTGACGATCAGACAACCCCAACTTCACAGATAACTCAGCCCTCAACGCCTCAGATGGATAAAGCTCGGCTGAACCAAAAACACAAAAATGAACATTTCAATCTAAATTCAACTTCAAGTCAAAGAAATGCACAAAAAAAATACCTAAAATTTTACTCACTTACCAGCATATGCTTTTTCCAGAATCTCCAACTGTGAAGCAGACTTCATTTTGCGCTTGACCTTGTTCTCCTCCTCCAATAGCTTTTTCTCCTCTCCTCCTGAACAACCCTCCATAGCTGAAGCTAAAGCTCACATTCACTCAAACCCTAACAAATTGAACCGTACGGAACAAAAACCCTTGCTCCCGAAAACCCCATATCCACACTCAGAAACAATCCAGAAACCAAAAACACACAAAGAAGAAGAAAATAGCTAGAAGCGTGAATTTGGAGTTTATCTCTCTAACATTTGAGCTGGAGCAACTCTCTCTCTCTAAAAACTGGAACCGAAGGGAGTGTGATTGAGATGTGTGGTTAGGTTTGGGGAATAGCAAAAACAAAAACAAAAACAAAAATAATAGTTAATAGAAAAATGAGTAGAGATTATGGAGGGAAAAAAGATGAAGTAGAAGAAAATAGTGATAATAGAAAAAGGTGTTTGTTTGAATGATATGTGATTAATGAAAAAGAAACAGTGGTGCATTTTCCAATTGCTGCCATCTTTTTCGAATTTTTAATAAAATGAATCAATTTTGAAATTAATATAGTTAGAAGAATGCTTTATATTTATGAATGTCTCTCTGGCTAGATTTGATTTGATATAAACCCGTGTCTTTCTTTTTAATGGTTTGTTTGTTCTTCTTGGTAGGACACTGACAGTTTCGTTTCAGAACTCGTCTTTCGTACCATGTCCATGCCCACCGCTTCTACTCGCGCGTGGTATAGATCAGGCCCATGTAAAAAAATATAAAATACTAATATTTTTTTTAATTAAAGTATTTGTCAATTTATCCAACATCTCACTATTTTTGGGGTGATTTTTCTCTAAACTAATTATCATTTATTTTTTAACTTTGTTTTCTATTCTGATTAGAAACGGATTATTTTTCTCTATGAAAATATAGGTTCCAATTTTTTCATAATCAATTTTCAACTGAATCATTATTTTCAATTTTAAAACTAAGTATTGGTCAAATCAATCAGCCAATTTCTATCACACAGGCAGCATTTTCAATGTTTGATTTAAACTTTTGTAAAATGATCAAGATATTTGTAATACGAAAAATGATTGTATTTATCAATCAAATATTATTGTTAATAAATGTATGTTGATCCATTAATAAAAAATGTTATTGTTATGAACGAGAATCAAATATTTTTATAAATATTAAATAAAAATAATATTTATATATAGGAAAAAATATATTATTAATTTAAATATTTTTATATACAGAAACAATTTTAATATTAATTTGAATATTTGTATAAATAGTATTAAAATAAAATTAATATTTATATACAAAAAAAAAATATTATTGATTAAAATATTTTTATATAGGGAAGAAAATATTATTGTTATAAACGGGAACAACTTATTGATTCAAATATTTTTATAAATATTATAAAAACAAAAATAATATTTTGATTCAAATTTTTTATAAACGGAAATAATTTTACTATTGATTCAAATATATTTATAAATAATGTCAAAACAAAAAATAATATTTATATACGGAAAAAAATACTTCGTTTATTATGATATTTTTATATACGAAAACAAATACTATTGTTATAAACGAGATCAACTTTACTACTATTCAAATATTGAATAATAGAAATTTATCGACCATTGTATTTTCTCTTATAACATAATTGTCTTATTTGTTAAAAAAACTTAAACGATTAATTTGTCTAATACAAGTTTCAATAGTTTTTTTATTGATCATATTTTTCAAATGTGTGAAAAAGGTTAAGGGAACTTATTAAAAAAGACTAAGTAAATATTTAAAAATTATATTCTCTCTTATAAAATAATGTCTTCTTTGTAAAAAAAAATAAAAATGATAACCTAATACAAGTTTCAGTAGTTTTTATTTTTAATCATATTATTCTTAATATTGTTGTTTAACTTCCATCTTCTACATTTATTATTATTTCAACTTTAATGTAATAGCATTCTTAAGTTTTTTTTTCTTTTTTTCAACTTATAATTTTTATTACAATTTGCAAACAAATGTGTGTCCAAAATCATATCCCACTCAAAAACGTACTCCGTGCGTAGGCACGAGTTTCTTACTAGTTAATATAGATGGAAGAAAACTTTACATATATATTTTAAATAAAGTTGAAAGAAAATTTGTATCTTTTAAATAAAGTTGAAAGAAATTTTTTATCCAAAACTAAAATGAATCTACCATAAGAAACAATATAATAGGAATAAAAATTAAAAGGCTTAAATAATCTGTTGGTCCTTGTAAGTTAGCGAGTTTTTAATTTTGATTTCTGTCATTTTTTTTGTCTGAGTTCATATATCTCACTTTTTGCAGTCTCTACCTGCGGATTTTGGCTTTATGGAATAAAATGAACGCAAAAAATGAGATATATGAACTCAGAGAAAAAAAATTATAGTGACCAAAATTAAAAACTCCCCCTACTTACAAGGATCAAAAGTGCATTTAAGGCAAATTAAAAACAGAAACAAATCAAAATATAATGATAAATCTTCAAAACTATAAAATCCACAAACACAGATAAAAATATATCTAACTTTAATTTGATCTTCTAATTTCTCTGATTTTTGTTGCATATAGAAGACACACAGAGGTTTTAAGAAGTGGATAATCAATAGCTAAACTTATTAAGATTACTGATGAAATAAAGGCATTCAAAGCTTATTTCATGTCACTTAAGGCTAATAACTTCATATCCTATGGACACTTCAGTGACATCTTCTAATGTTAACAATTGTTGTTGTTGTTACTGCTACTGTTATTATTAGCTCTTCTAAAGTAGATACTACTTATGTTGCTCCTCAATATTCTGATGTTAATACTTCATCCATCCCCACCTCCATTATAACCTATTACATTCCATTCATTCTTGAACCCATCACTTCCTCTATTTCCCAAACCACAAATCCAAATATTGATAACACTATTTCTAACCTATATATTCCTAACATCATACCTCCGTCTATAGTTAAACTTTTGACATTTCCACCATTTCTCTTGACCACATCTCAAAGAGTCGGGCTTTCTAAACATGGACTCTTTCACCCCAATCATAAACCATTCCACCAACACCAAACACATTTCTTTCAAACAACCACACTTTTCAACCACCCAACACGTCTAATGAAAAGTTAGAAAATGAACTCATTGTCTATCCAAGCATACCCTCTCAACTATTGTTTAACCAAACATCCTCCAAAACTAACATTCATTCACTTCTTTGGATGACTTATTCATGCAGTTTAAAAAATATGCTATTGATAGACTCATTTCTCTCACTGAAGTTTGTAGAGGCAGCACAAACTTATTTGAAGTATGTGCTCTGATTAAGGCCTTCGGAAGATGGCTAGATGCTAGTTCTGAAGAGGTAAGCATTGCCTTTCTGAAATAAGCTAAGAGGAACCTCAATGTCAGACTCTCTAGTATTATGGAACCTCTACTTCAGAAGGTTCTTGCTACTCTTCTGCTCCCTCCACCAGAAGTGATTCCTCCTCATCCAGTTCAATTTCCTTGGTTTCTATTGAGAATTCTCTTGAAGATACAAATGGTTATGGTACCAAGAAGACTTCAGATGCTGATGATTATGTTCTGAAGAAGTTGGAGTTTCTGGATGCAGAGAATTCAAAAATGAAGGAAGAACTTCAAAGATTGAAGGGTTGCTTGTAGAGATTCTGTTTAAACTTCTTGAAAAACCCTCTAAACCTTAGTTTTTGTTTAAATTATGTGCTATCTTTGTTATGTTCTTATGTTTTCCTCTTTCTTGTACTCATTATTCTGATTAATGACAATTAGTATTTTGTTTGGTCTATCTTATCTTTGTCTTTTTATTATTTTTGATGAATGACAAAGGGGGGAAAGAGAAAATGATTTTGATATACCTAATTTTCCATAATGGTAACCCAAACATGTTTCTAACAGTTTGAACTTGGAAAATTTTCTGAGAACTTTGAAAAAGTTCATCTTTATGACCAAGTGTTTCAGGTTCTAAGTATATACAGTTTTAATCAAAAGTTTACTAGATTCTAAATTCAAGGCTCTGAACAAGCTCATCATACACTCTGAACAAATGCATGACCTGGTTCTGATACCACTAAAAAAAAGCTCTAAGATAGTAAGTTATGATGAAGCATGCTCTGACACTCAACCAGAATTCTGATAAAACGCTTTTGGTCTCAAGCTAATGCAGTCTGAGACATTTTCTAAATCATTAAATCCTGGCTGCTGCCAAAATGGAAAATAGTGAATAGACTTCTGTCTAAAAAGAAAGTTGTAACAACCTGGATTTTGCCACAAGGGAAGTTATTTATTTCATGCTAATTTATAAGGATTTATATCTGTTAAAATCATTTTAAGTCTGGAATTCAGGGGGAGCTTACAAATCTAACTCTAATATTCTAAGATTAAAAATAAGTGTTTAACGATATAAAATTCAAGGAGAGCTTACAAACCTCACTCTGATATCTTTGTAAAATTCAAGGGGAGTTTACAAACCTCACTCTGAAATTTTTATGTAATTAAATAGTGTAAAATTGGTCATCAAAATACATGGTTTGTCATCATAAAAAAGGGGGAGATTATGAAAACAAGTTTTGATTATGCATATGACCTCAAGTTTTGATGATAACAATACGTGGATTGATATGGAACAATTTTGTACACTAATGATTTTTGTCAAGTGTGTAGTTGTTGCTTATCAGGTTCCGGCTCTGAAGCTCTGACGTGTGACATCATCATATTCTTGAATCAACACATTCTGACTCTGAGAAAGTACAAGAACTCACAAGACTCTGTCAAGTTAGAGAAAAATCGCAGAGAACGATTCTGAAGAACGTTTATGCTCAAGCTTCTGACTCTGACTTTGAGTAAAAAGCCTCTAAAGGACTATCTTACTTCAAGACTCTAAGCTCAAGCCGAAGATTCTGAAGACCAGGTTCTAATGAACAGTGTCAAGACTCTGAAGACTGTAGTTCTAAAGATTCTCAATAAGGCCCTTAACTCTTCTAACTATGCTTCAAACATATACACTTAGAAGCCTCTGATACATAAAAGATGACAAGAATAGATC